GGCCATGTGCCTCACAATACAAATTGAAAACAAAATATATGCATGCTTATTTTTGGTGTCAGATATCAATACACGGCAAAGCCACCACAAGACAACTACTCCTAGGCCTTGTTTAAACTAAAAAATATAAAGTTTTGTGGTGTCACATTAGATATCGCATGAGAGTGTTATATGGGGTATTTAAATACTAAAAAAATAAATTACAGAATTCGTCAATAATCCACGAGACGAATTTATTAAGCCTAATTGAGCCATCATTAGCACACGTGTTACTGTAGCACAACGTTGTTAAATCATAAATTAATTAGGTTTAAAAGATTCGTCTCGTAAATTAGTCGCAAACTATATAATTAGTTAATTTTTTAGTCTATATTTAATACTCTGTGCATGTATCAAATATTTGATAAGATATGGAGTAAATTTTATGAGAGAAACTAAACAAGACCGTAGTATCTAAGGGCCTGTTTGGTTCCTGCAGGACCTCCTAAAATTTCTGTCACATCGAATGTTTGGACACATGCATGAAGTGACTAATTACGAAACTAATTGCACAACTTACGACTAATTTGTGAGACGAACCTTTTAAGCTTAATTAGTTCATGATTTGACAACGTGGTGCTACAGTAAACATGTGCTAACGACGGATTACTTATGCTTAAAAAATTCGTCTCGCAAATTAACCTTTATTTATATAATTAGTTTGATAATTAATCTATATTTAATGCTTCTTATTAGTATCTAAACATTCGATATGACATAAATTTCAAACATCCCTAAATTTGACTAAATTTATCGTGATAGATGAACGGTGTCTTCAAGTCAGTCGTGTCGGTCGCACGTCAATCGCGGATCGATCCATCCATCCATCCATGTGACCATGTGGGCATATGGCTGATTCATCGTCAGGCCATACGTGCATCGGCATCACACCCTTCCCTGGTGACGAGGGAGAAAGAATTTGGAACGGATCCCTTCTGATCCTGCTATGACTTGTTTGATATACGTGTATCTACTTTAATTTATATGGGTCTATTCGTTTGTCTGAATTCTATAGGAATCTGGATGGTTTGTAAAAATGCTAAAGAAATTTATGAGAGAAAAATACTATTCCAGATAAAAAAAAAAAATAGATCAAACCGGGTTTAAGGGCACGCGAACGGGGCCTATGTATTGAAGTAGTTTAGAATGTAATTATCCATTCTAATCCATGCAACACACATGGATTGAGATAAATACATGCTTATTCAATATAAGGTCTTACGTGTGGATATGATGTTTGGCGCGCGTGTCCCCGGAAGTGTTCAGCTGTCGTTATAAATTGACTTATAAATCGATTAATTAATTATGATATAATATTCTTCTCTTTTAATAAATTAGTGGTATAAGTCAGCACAGAACACTTTACTGGCAGCCGACCGAAGCCTCCGTCGCTTGCCACCGACTTCAGTTATATTTGACCCTCCATACTAGGCTCTAGCCTGCTGACTGCATCACTAGTATAGCTGCTTTCTACGTGGAACTATTCTTTTCCCCATTAGGCCGGGTATGTGTATGCACTCCTAGTAGTCCTCCTCTAGCACACAAGTTTGACATTTCCCTGTTTCCTCGTACAGAGAGCAGAGAGCGCTGTCATCATCAGCATCCCAGTAGTTTAGATTAGATCTTAGGATACAATTCCGAATTTTTTTACCAGTCAATTCACCTCAATCTAGAATACAATTCCGGCCCATTCCAATTCTGTCTCCCACGCTGGCAGACGGTCACGGTATCCACAGTGACCAATTGGACCCAAGAACCAATGGTCCGAACTGGAATGGACCAGCCCGCCTGGAAATGCACCAGTACAAAAGCCTACAAGACAGGGCCCGATCGGCCTCTCAGCTTCAAACAAGGCCCCACTTGACTGAAAAATATTAGGCCTGTTCGTTTGGAGGAATTCTAAAGAAATTTAGATGGTTTGGAGAAATGCTGAATGAATCTGTGAGAGAAAAATACTGTTCCAGATAAAAAAAAACGGATCAAGCCGGATTTAAGGACACGTGAATGGAGCCATTGTTCCGACTAGTTTGATGAACAGTAATTTAAGAGGGGAAGCAGCCGGCTGGCTGGTCTGAACCAGACCAGCGAAGGACACCTTTGCATCACATGTACAGTATACATTATGATGTATGCGTTGCTTCCGAATCCACGATGCGTCCACACTTGCACAGCACAGCAGACAAATCAATCCGAGGCTCCGAGCATTGTTCGCGTTAATGTTTTGATTTGAAGCGGTCGTTGTTTCCTTGCTTGCTTGTCTGTGACAGCCAATTATATATAGAGAGTACTCGGTCTAAAAAATAGAGTCGCTATAGGAATAGTGCTGGTCAAACTTTCTCAACTTTGACTAAGTTTGTAGAAAATACGTGCAACATTTATATCTTTAAATAAGTTTATTATGAAAGTATATTCAACAATCTACCTAATGATACTAATTATGTACCATAAATATTAATATTTTGTTAAATATATTTGGTTAAAGTTAAAAGTTGCAGATTTTTTGGAAAGCGAGAATGACTTTTTTTTTTGATAGAGGGAGTATATGAATATGAATTGTAAGAGCGACAACAAGGTGCATGCGGACCCATTGACTAGCGCCCGGATGATGTCCGGCCCCAGGCCCCACGTCCAAACAACCGCGTTGCAGTTTTTCGCGCTCATACCAGCAATCCACGCCCACGCTAGCCCAAAAAACCAACACGCCCCCGCATGTGCTTGGGTTTCACATGCCCAAGCGGGGCTCGCGCCGCCAGAACACGTGCGGGACTACCTGCGTCCCCTCCGCTTCCCACGCATATTGCAACATGTGCAACACCCGATCTACTTTTCAAACATTCAGATACAACACTTGCAACAACGTCCAAAGACAAACGAAACACTTGAAAACATGCTTATGAAACACTTGCAAAACACACATGAAAAATACTTGAAAACCATTGCAAACATACACAATATCCGGATAAAACACTTCACTAGTAGAGAAATGACCTTTCATCCGCTTCGATTTTGGGCTTTAGTCTCGGTATTTTTTGTGTCCGAGAGTATAGGAAGAATTAGTCCCGGTTGGAGGTACCAACAGGGATTAAAGGCCCCTGTCCTGGCACGATTGGTGTTACCAACCCTCGACCTTTAGTCCCGGTTGGTAATACCAACCGGGACTAAAGGGTGGCCTTTTAGTCCCGGTTGGTGTCACCAACCCGGATTAAAGGTCTCCCACCCGGGACTAAAGGTACCCCACAGGTCAATTTAAAAGGAGAGTGTTTAGGACCCTGTCACATGTGGTGTACAGCTGAATTGGTAAGGAGTTTATGCGTGAGGAAAGAGGTCCTGGGTTCGAATCTCACACATCGCAAGAGAGGTCTCCCTATAATTTCGTTTATTTTTCTTCTGAGGATGGACCTTTAGTCCCGGTTATGTGACCGGCCAGGACCTTTAGTCCCGGATTCGTAGTAGTCCCGGTTGGGAAACCGGGACTAACGAATCCCGGTTGGGAAACCGGGACTAAAGCCAGTTCCCAACCAGGACTACAACCCATTTCTCTACTAGTGCTTGCAACATATGTGTGAAACGTATGCAACATCTAGATAAAAACACTGCAACAATATGTCCAGAAACATAGATGAAACATTGGGGAAGGACGCTTGCAACGTATGTGTACAACCATTGCAACATATGCAACATCCCGATCTACTTTTGCAACATCCGTGTGAAACAACTGCACATACCTCTAAAACATATGAATCATTTGAAATGTTCACTTGCAATATGCGTTTCAGCAGAGCGCAACATATCCTTGATGCTTGCGAAATGGAGGCTCGTCGACATGTTGAATTCACCGGAGGCAGCCATGCTGTGGCCACCATCGACCAGCGCCAACATCGACTAAATGGACTCCGCCTACTATAGTCCCCAGTCCCCACCGCCATGGGATCTCTCGCCGCACAGTGGATCTGGTGGAAAGGGCAGCGAGTCAAAGTGGGGCCAAGGTGCGCAACGCGCGATGCAGGCGAGCGGCCACCCCGCCGGGGGGCTGCGCCGCATGGCTGGGGCACCGCCGGGTCGGGCGTACGTAGCGCGCGGAGGTGGCCGCGCTTTGGACCACGTCAGGACTCAGGAGAGAGAGAGAGGAAGGGGAGGTTGGGGTGGAGACGCGGACGGTGCGGAGCAGGACCGACGAGGGTGTGAGCGGTAGTGTCACCTGCTTTTGCCACTGGTACGAAGCGGATTGTGCGTCAATGGTTTCTTTTTTTTTTCTTTTTTTTGCGAGCGAGCGGTGCCGTGTGACGTAGACGTTAGGGCGCAGGGACGCCAGTGCCTTAGCATCATCGATTGACGATGGCTGCTCATCCAATCGAAAACACACAGCGGAACCTTTCTGATTTGTGCAGCAGCCACCAGCAGCGGCTCAATTCCGTTGCCAGAACCTTAAAAAAAATCCCGTTGCCAGAGGATAATAACAACAATTAACCAACGTTGTTTTGTTGTTCTCGAGCCTGAACCTGAAAAGCTTGCGCGTTCCCAAGGAGAATGTCGTCGTCTCTGTTGGCCTGTCGCTGCCGCCTGCCCAATGCAATGCAAGCAAGCCCAACCCCAATGGCAGCTAGCTAGCCAATCATCATCCCTCATCAGCTACTCAGAACTCAGCTCAGCACGCACGGGCCGGCATGCATGGCATGCCTGCATCTGCATGCATGCATGCGTGCTTTTATCCTTTCGGGGCCTCGGACCGCGGCCGGTGTCGCCTCCTCCGCCGTGCCGGCGCATGGCATGCACGGCGGCCTGCATCCATCGATCCTCTCAACTGATTCACGCTGCAAAGCAACGCGCGTGGCGGGCGGCCAACTTAACACTCATCACAGGACTCTCCATGCCGGCGTTCGCGCGCTCCATCGATCTCTAGCCTGTTCGGCTGTTAGTGCCGTCGGGAAGCGAGCACCCAAAGCTCCAATCGTGTGTCGTCGTCAGAACCTGGACGAGTGCGCCGGCGCTGGCTTGTCGCCGCCGTCGCCGCCAAGGCGCGCGGAGAAGAGCGCGGCGACGGGGCGGTGGTCGGAGAACCGCGACTCGCCGCGCGCGTACCAGCGCTGCTCCATCCCCTCACCGCGCCACAGGATGCGGTCGCACCTGCAATGCAACAACAGCACGGACGCACGCGCGCGTCTCGATCAGCCAAGCCCGGCATTAATTAATTAATTCAGTAGGATCGCCGGTCGGAACAATTAGTTACCATGCCGGCGTGCGCTTCTTCCTGTCCCGGGACCGGGAGCTGTCGGCGGCGGCGGCGGAGTACGAGGAGTTGGCGATGCTCAGCATGGCGTAGGCGTCGGAGCCGGCCACGTACTTGTAGGTGGGCGGGAACGCGATGCGGCCTTCCTCCCACCCGGCGAACACGCGGCCGTCCTTTTGCTCCGCCCGCAGCTGGTCCCGCTCCAGCAGCGCCGCCCACTCGTGCCGCTCTACCAGCTCCCGCGTGCCTCCTCCTCCCTCCATCAGCCGGTAGTTGAGGTCGCCCAGCCATATCACCTTGCTGCACGCACCGATGCACGTTGTTCCCTTTGGTCAGTAATGGCGCGTGGACGACGTCCGTGAGTGCATCGGTCGGGAGGCCTAAGCGCTTAGCTACTTACTCGTGCTCCAAGATGGTCATCGGTGCCGCCGCCCTGCACGGCGACGGCGAGTCCCGCCGCCCGAACCTCGTCCGCCTCAGGATCTCGGCCACGTCGCCGTTGCGCCGCTCGCCGTCGCCGTCCCTGTCACCCGACGCGAGGTGCGTGCACACGAAGCACAGAGACGCGCCGCCGCGCAGCGAGAGGCTGACGGACACGGAGCCCTTATTGCCCATGTAGCCCATGACGCCCCTGCCGACGCACGACGCCCTGACGCCGGCGACGCAGGGGAGGAGGTCGGCGCGGACCCACACGCACAGCAAGATGCCCACCATCTGCTTGCTGGCTGCCAGCCGGTAGCGGTATCGTCCGCCACGGTGCCGCCGGACCGCCGGCTCCGACGACTCCGTGCTCGGCCTGCTGCGGCTGTCGTCCTCCGCTGCCGCCAGCAGGTCCGAGAAGCTCACCCGTCCGCCTTTCTGGAGCAGGTGCGTGTCCGAGGGAGGCCTGTGGCTTCTGCTGCTCGACGAGGAGGAGGAGGAGGTGGCGTCGTCGGATGCAGGGCCGTTCAGCGCTCGCCGGATGAGGTCCAGCCACTTGCGCGCCGGGGCCTTGTCCTCGGCGCCGAGCACGTTGCCGGCGTTCAGCGGCACGATCTCCTGGAACCTGTGTTTCCGACATGCATGAACAATCAATGGGATTCAGACCAACAGGAGTTTTGAAACGTGCAGTTTGCCTCGGCCCTTTCGCTTGTCTTAAAAATGATTTGTTTGGCTTCTTTTTTCAGTCAGAATAGTATTTTTTTTCATAATAATTCAGCTGGAACAATATTTTTCAGCCAGTTTCAGCCAAGTTTCAGATGAACGAACGGGGCAGGAAAGAAGAAACCAAAACTACCATTTCCTATGTGTACTACTACCAGGAGTGAGTGAGTATGTACTACAGCCTACAGCACCCATAGCTTCTGAGAGGGGAAAATGGGAAATGCCGGAGTACTGTACTAAGGGCGTTGTGGGGTATAATCAAGGTACCATGGCAATGGACATGAGCTGCACCATCAGGTGAGGTCTAGCCTATAAGATTAAGGCTTACGGTGCTCGGCTCTGGTCGGCGTGCACCGCAAGACAATCAGAAGAATATTAAAGGTAAAGAAGGATCTGTTCGGATATGATAGATATCGTATTCCTTGTAAATACTTATCATATAACCGAAAAGATCTAGATCTAATCGACTCGTAACTCTGCCCATAGACTATATAAGGCGGACAGAGACCCCTCGAAATTATCTCATATTCAATACAATCCAACAAAGACACATGACATAGGGTATTACGTCGATCAAACGGTCCGAACCTATCTAAATCGCTGTCTCTGCGCTTTATGTCACCATCCGATTCCTATTACGCGCACCTCCACCGATCATTTACTACCGTAGGTATACCCCTCGATAGACTATCTATCAGATTTTATCAACAGTGTGCGCTTAATCCTCTGGCGAACCCGATGGCTTACCTCGACATCTAGCTACGTCGACCGTGGCAACCCAGTTGATCGCGGCGGCGTCCCGCACGACAAGCCTCGACATCCGGAGGCAAATTCGCACTATGCTAAGCGGCACAAGATGGTTCGTGGAGTTGTTCGGCGGCAGCCTCGACACTCGTCGATGCAGCCTTGCATCTGGGGCCGATCGCCGTTGTCCCTGCGGACAGCAACTGCACCTACCACGTGATGACACCGGAACGAGGGCTATAGCGGCGGCCGATTAAGATTTTCGTCAACATCATCGAAAGGCGATTTGACATCACCAGCGCGCATGTGGGCATCTTGCAACAAGCAAATACAGATCTTGCATGCTGGCATGTGGGCGTGAGGCAAGCACGTATAGATCGGCTACTGCTCATCTAGTTTCTCGTGGCCAGGCTCCCATGAGAGATCAATTTTTGCGGCCGCACGTAAAAAAAACTAAGGGGTGTTTGATTCTTTGTCGCTCCTAAAATTTATGTCACAGAATATTTAGATACTAATAAAGAGCATTAAATATAGATTAATTACAAAACCAATTACATAGATAGAGACTAATTTACGAGACGATTTTTTAAGCCTAATTAATCTGTCATTAGCACATGTTTACTGTAGCACCACGTTGTTAAATCATGAACTAATTAGGCTTAAAAGATTCGTCTCCCAAGTTAGTCACAAGTTGTGTAATTAATTTTGTAATTAGTCTATACTTAATACTCCATGCATGTGTCTAAACATTCGATGTGACATAAATTTTAGGAGCCCCTATAGTAACCAAACACCCCCTAAGTTAAGATTTTTGTTTGACCATGGCCCTGTTCGCTTCGCTGAAAAAACAAGCCAAAACACTGTTCCGACTGATTTATTGTGAGAGAAAAACACTATTCCGGCTGAAAAAAATAAGCTGAAAAAGACGGATTATAAGAGAAACGAATAGGCCCAAGTAATTTTGTGATGTATTTGTGTATCTCCGTATACACATATATTTGTATATATGAAATATATGTCTTCACGACTATTATTGATGATAGGATTCGGCCACGCCTCTTGCTGACTCGTGGCGACACTAGGCAACCTCTTGAGCCCGCGGACTACGGCATCAGATTCGTCGCAACCCTGCAGGACTATCCTGCAAGAAGACGCCAAACAAGCTAATTATGGAAGCCACACAGAGATTATCGTGGACAAAGGGAGTATATATAATTAGCTTGCATCGAGCTGATCAACGAGAGACAAAAAGCAGGCAGGACGTACGACAACGGCCCCGTTCGGCTCGCTGAATTGTGACTGAAACTGGCTGAAAACACTGTTTTGGCTCAATTCTTATGAGAGAAAAACATTGTTTCGGTTAAAAAAAACAAGCTAAATAGTGCCGTTTTTTTAAACGGAACGGGGCCACCAGCACCATGAAGCCGACGAAAGCAAGCAAGGTCAATTATGCATGCATATGCGCGTGCCATGTAGCTCTACGTCAATTTCCAAGAGCCAAGTTGATCAACACACAAGCCCACGACGACGACGAGTACTCCGACAGCGACAAAGGCTGCTCCTACTGCTCCTACGCCATCCCTAATCGCGAGCTGCTCGAGTCCGTAAGCGAGCCACCTACTCGCACATCGCGACATGCTACGTCAACTATCTCTCTGAATCTGCTCTGGCTAAGGCCAACCAATAATATAAGGACGTCGTCGTCCGGACTACTCACTCACTCCGACCGCCTGCCACGTCGCACTGATAATCGCCGTGTAGAACGGCGCTTTGATAACCGCGACCGCTGCCATGACGACAGGCTGGAAAGCTCGAGGGCCGCGACCAGATATCGTCATACGCCGCCGATCACACATTTTGACTAAAGCTAAGTACCTCTACTATATCTGCATTTAATACATCTTTCTCCAATTATTTTCTTCGAGTTTTCGCCATGCTCCTCCAATTATTATTTTTTGGTTATTTTCCATAATTAAATGTGTCGGTGCAGAAAGTGACCAACATGTAAATATTTATAGTTTTGCCGTACGTTGTGATCGGATGTGGCCTAGCACTCAATGACACAGGGTTTATACTGGTTCAGGCAACGTGCCCTACGTCTAGTTTGAGTCGGTCAGTGACTTTATTCCTGAGCCCAGGTGCTCGAAGTATGCTGTGGGGTTATAAACAGAAGGAGAAAGATGGGGAGTGCAAGAGGTCCGGTCGGTCTCCGGTCGGAAGGGCCGAGAGTGACAAGAGCTCCTACTTGTGCTGAGTGTTTGAGCGTATGCTCGAGGCTCGAACTTGGTGGTTCTGGTGTTGTGTGTTGAATCGATCGTGCCTATTTAGAGAGAGCGTGTCCCCTTTTATAGATGAAGGGGACGACCTTACAAGAGAGAGAGAGAGTACGTAAGCTACTAAGTCTTGTTGCTCACGTCGTCGGGTACAAGGTGATTGTAGGTGTCCACAATACTTTTGATATTAGATGCATGTTGGAGGTTTTACTGTGTCCTACCATGTATGGTAAATGCCGACGCCCATAACACTGTGGATGCCCAGACACATGTGGGGGGCCTTACCGTGTTTGCCTGGTATGGGAATTGATAGCGCCCATAACACTGTAGGGTAAAACTTCGGCGCCCATAACACTGCTTGAGTTCTAACATGCCTGAAAGGTTGTAGGGCACCCTTCTGACATGCCCTGTCGGTACTGTCCTATAAGTGTACAGGGTACGATCCTCGGTATTGCGGTTGACTTGAGCACCCTGTCTTACTTGCTCCGCCCGTTGCCTAGGTCCTTACCGAGCGGGCGTCCCCAGTCGGTTGGTCCCTAGTTGGTTCCGACTGCGCCAGTCGGATAAGAGCCGTAAGCAGAGGTTAGTGCATCCCCGGTTGGAGACGCGGATCAGAGTTAGAAGCGGCGTTGACCAGGGCTTCCGATCGGAGAGGCGGGTCAGAGTTGGAAGCGAGTCAGACCTTCCGGTCGGAGAGGCGGGCCGGAGTCAGAAGCGGGCGCCATTCCTCCTCGGCCAGGCCTTTTGTTCGGAGATTGGCTCGCCCTTTGGCCTGTCACTTGGTATTTGGGCCGGCCCAGGAGTTGCGCATCGTTCACAACATCGTCCACTGGGCCAAGCCTTTGCTGGAAAACTGGTCCATGAGGGACCCTCGGGTTTATGAACCCAACAGGAGTCCCCGAACCCCTAGATGATTCGGGTAGAATCGCTCGGGGTTTTTTTCATCTTGACGAAGTGCGCGATGAGCTTAACGCAGGGGTGTAGCCCCGAGCCCCCGGGCAATTTGGGGCGAATTGCCTATGTGGTTTTTCATGTTTGTCGGTCGGGGATGTTTTTGTTTTTTTTTGGCGGTCTTGACATGAGCGCTCCACGGTGTAGCCCCGAGCCCTCGGGCGATTCGGGTAGAATCGTTTTTTTTTTTTTTCATGTTGTCGTGAGCGTGTGTTCTCGCACTTTGGTTGAGAGAGAGTCATCAACCATGGCGCGTCAGGCGTGTCGAGGATCGGGCGAAGTCGAAGTCATGGATCTCATGACCTGTGCCTTGTAGGGATCGGGCGAGACAGAGTCGCAGATCTCAAGGCGAAGGCGCAATGAGGCGCTTTAGGGATCGGGCGAGACGGAGTCGCGGATCCTGGCGTCGGGCACAGCCGAGGCAGTTTTAGGGATCGGGCGAGACGGAGTCGCGGATCTTGACGTCGGGCGGAGCCGAGGCAGTTTAGGGATGGGGCAAGACGGAGTTGTGGATCCTAGCGTCGGGCGGAGCCGAGACAGTTTTAGGGATCCAGCGAGATGGAGTTGCGGATCCTGTCATCGGGCGAAGCCGAGGCAGTTTAGAGATCAGGCGAGACGGAGTCGTGGATCCTGGCGTCGGGCGGAGCCGAGGTAGTTTTAGGGATCGGGCGAGACGGAGTCGTGGATCCTTGCACCGGGCGGAGCTGAGGCAGTTTAGGGATCGGGCGAGATGGAGTCGTGGATCCTGGTGTCAGGCGCAGCGAGGCAGTTTAGGGATCAGGTGAGATGGAGTCGCGGATTCTGATGTCGGGCGTAGCCGAGGCAGTTTGGGGATCGGGCGAGACGGAGTCATGGATCCTGGCGTTGGGCGGAGCCGAGGCAGTTTTAGGGATCGAGCGAGATGGAGTCGCGGATCCTAGCATCGGGTGCATCG